TTTATTTATTTGACAGAGAAAGACCCAGCGAGAGAGGGAACACAAGCAGGGGGAGAGGGAGAAGCAGGCTTCCCTCTGACCAGGGAGCCCAATGTGGGGCTCAATCCCAGGACCCTCGGACCATGACCTGAGCTGAAGGCAGACGCTTAACGACTGAGCCACCCAGGCACCCCTAAGCCTTCCTAATTTTGTTCTAAGCTCCTCTAGCGCCGGGATCTTTAATTCCCTTCTGTTAACTCCCAGACCTCCAAATTCAAGGTATATGCCCTAACTGGAACATTCCTTGATTACTCTGGCCCTAATTTACATTTCAACCCAATTAATAAAAGCATGCCACGGAGAACTCTCAAGTAAAAAACGTGACTTATTCCTGCCAGGGAGATAAAATGACTCAAAGCCTTCATGAAACATTTGGCAATTTGACTAAATTAGCTCTGCATTCAGAAGCACCTTTTTTTTATTTCACAAAATGAAACATACTAACTTATGAAACATTCTAACTTTACAGTGGAGAGACCTGTTGGACACCACCTTAACCAAGTTAAGATATTAAAATTAAGGTGGTTCAAATTAACCTCACCAAGAATGGCACAAACTAACCTCAGGGATGTTCTGATGCAATATACTGAGAAGGACATCCCATTACTTATGTACCCATTCTGCCATAAGGAAACCTCAAAAACCAACTAAGTTATTTCTAAAAATACCTGGCTTTTACTCTTCAAAAAATGGCAATGTCAAGATTTATCAGATAAAAGGAGCTGTGCCAGGTGAAAGAGTATTAAGGAGACAAGATAACAAAATATTCTGCATTGGACTTACCAAAAGTTCAGAAATAGCCAAAGCAAAACCAGTGAATCACTGAAGTAATTAGTAAAAGTTTCTTCTGCACACATGAAAAACAGTTCACAAACGGGAAGCACTCCAACCAAAACATGGAATGAGGCTCAGGAATTTATCGTTATAAAGCAGCTTAACAGTAGACACCCCCTGATCCAGTGTCACTTTCCACAGTTTCAGTTGCCTGAGGTCATCCCCAAGGTCCAGAATCAGACCATTCTCCTTCTGACATTTCCTCAGAAGGTCAATAGTAGCTTAATTCTACATCACAATGCCTCCTGTCATTCACCTCACCTCATCTATTTTACATAGGAATTTTAGTATCTCACATTATCACAAGAAGAAAAGTGAGTACAGTACAATAAGATCTTCTGAGAGCTCACATTCACATAACTTTTTTATAGTATATTGTTATAATTACTCTATTATTGTTGGTAATCTGCTACTATGCCTAATTCATAAGTTAGGCTTTATCATAGTGAAAGAGGATTTCAACTGCCTCCATCTTGACCTCAACTTTCTAGTTGGGTTCTTCTTTTCAGCTTGTCTCTAGGCTCAGGCAGAAGACCCTGGGAGCAAGGCGTCTCCTAATGGGAATCCAAACTACCCCCTCAAACAATAAGGACTGCCCTGAGCCAGCAAGACCCCACCTGTGATTCACTCTAAGAAAATGATCATTTGGTTTACACTGCTACCTACAAGTACCAACCCACATTTGCCCCACGTTTTCCTTATATAAACCTGGGAAGTATTTTCAGCACTTTGGAGACAGTCTTTAAGATGTTAGTCAGGTCTTCCTGGTGTTGGCCTTCCTGAAATAAATTACTTTGTTTCACCATCACTAATTTCTCTGCCTTTGAATTTTGTCAGCAGCGAGTGGCTGAACCTGGTCTGTTTGGGTCGCCGGGGGGCCAAATGCTCTGGCAACCATGCATTCCGGGGTACAACAGTACGTATAGCAAACAAAACAAAACAAAAACATAGTATATATATATATAGTTTGGTGCTTCATGGTTTGGGGCATACATTGGGTGGGGGTGAGGGGATGGGGGGGCCGGGTCTTGGAACGTATCCCTAGCAGATAAGGGGGTTGGGGGCTACTGTATGGTGAGGAAGCCAGTGACTGTTCTTCACAGTGATTAGTTATTAGTTATAATATTAGAATTTTCCTAAATGAGAGGGAACTGGTCTTCATATCAATCTTGGGACAAGAGTTCAAGGTTTGCCAATGATTTCCAGAGGTATAAGTAAGAAAAGACCCAGGTCAAGTTAGTTTTGCAGAATAAGCTAAATTCAGTGATGCAGAAATGTTGGGGTTTGGAGCCAACACGGCCAAGAAAGAATTCTTAAGACGTCTTCAGTGCAAAAAAGGTGGTTTTATTAAAGCACGGGAATAGGACCCATGGGCAGAAAAGAGCTGCACTGGGGTTGTGATGGGTGACTGATTATATACTTTCAAATTGCGAGGGGGTTAGGGCTAGCCTAAGTCCCTAAGGAATTTTGGAAACAAGGTTTCCAGGACCTTAAGGGGGCTAGCTATTGTTAGGAAAAGGTCATTTATTACTGTTTAGTAAACCCTCAGTCATGAGACCCTTCAGATGAATATCAGTGGGCTTGGAGGATGACTGCTAACATGTATCTTGTGTTGGTAGAGCTAAAGAAAGTTTCCAAAGGAATTTTTAATATGTTAAAGAAAACTTACAGGATCCTGGGGTGTTGGGAACATGTTAAGCTAAGATTGCCTTTTGCCCTTAGCAAAGTTGTTTTGTTTTGTTTTGTTTTTTATGGAACGCTTCATGAATTTGTGTGTCATCCATGCACAGAGGCCACACCAATCTTCTCTGTATTGTTCCAATTTTTGCACAAGGGCTGAGGAAGCGAGCATGCCCTTAGCAAAGTATCAACATCAGGGGGGCTGAAGGTCACTTTACCTGTTTCAAGGACTTGTCAATGAGCTGTAGGCAGTAAGGAAATTTAATTTTTTTCTTTTGCTTTTATTTCCCACATCATTCAGCTTTGTGACTGAACTGGTTTTGCTGCTCAGGCAATTTGCAAGTGCAAATTTTTTATTTTATCAGATTTAATTGTAATGAATGGAAATTATTAGGACATTTGTTGAAATTAGAATATGGATGGCAAATTTTTTATTTTATCAGATTTAATTGTAATGAATGGAAATTATTAGGACATTTGTTGAAATTAGAATATGGATGGTAGATTACTTAAGAATATCTTTTAAAGATTTTATTTATTTATTTGAGAGAGAGAGAGAGAGAGACAGAGACAGAGGGAGGGGGAGGGGCAGAGGGAGAGGGAGAAGCAGACTCCCCACTGAGCAGGGAGTCTGATGTGGGGCTCAATCCCAAGATCCTGGGATCATGACCTGAGCTGAAGGCAGTCACTTAACTGACTGAGCCACCCAGGTGCCCCTATTTATTATTTTTTAAAGTAAACTCTACTCCCAATGTGAGGCTTGAGTTCACAATCCGAAGATCGAGTCGCACACTCTATCGACTGAGCCAGTCAGGTGCTCAAACCCTGATATATTATTCTTAAATAGGGGTGCCTGGGTGGTTCAGTCGGTTAAGCGTCTGCCTTCAGCTCAGGTCATGATCCCAGGGTCTTGGGTTCGAGCCCCACATCGGGCTCCCTGATCAGCGGGGAGTCTGCTTCTCCCTCTGCTTGTGCTCTCTCACTCGCTCTCTCTCAAATAAATAAATACAATCTTTAAAAATAAATAAATAGGGTGCCTGGGTGGTTCAGTCGGTTAAGCGTCTGCCTTCGGCTCAGGTCATGATCCCGGGGTCCTGGGATCGAGTCCTGCACTGGGCTCCTTGCTCTGCGGGGAGTCTGCTTCTCCCTCTCCTCCCCACTTGTGCTCTTTCTTACTATCTCTGTCTCTCTCTCTCAAATAAATAAATAAAATCTAAAAAAAAAATTTTATTTATTTTTTTTATTTATTTTTTAAAGATTTTATTTATTTATTTGACAGAGAGAGAGACAACGAGAGAGAGAACACAAGCAGGGGGAGTGGGAGAGGGAGAAGCAGGCTTCCTGCAGAGCAGGGAGCCCGATGCGGGGCTCGATCCCAGGACCGTGGGATCATGACCTGAGCCAAAGGCAGATGCTTAACGACTGAGCCACCCAGGCGCCCAAAAAAATTTTTTTTAAATAAATGAATAAATAAATAAATAGAATATTATATCAGCGTTAAATTTCAACATTGCATAACTATGCTATAGCTATTAAAAGAACTCCTTTGCTCTTAGGAAATATACACTAGGAGTGAAGGGGCATGATGTATCCAATTTATCCTCAAATGACTCCCAAAAAAATACATATATGGGGCAAATGGGGCAAAATGTTAACAACTGGAGAATCCGAGTAAAGGCCATATGGGAGTTATTGTACTATATTTGCAAATTTTCTATAAATTTTAAATTATTTCTGAGTAAGAAGCTAAAACAATTTTGATGAAAAATTAGTAAGATGACCCAAAGTGCTCAAAGAAATTTAATTTTGGGGGAAAAAAAAAAAGGGATGCCTGGGTGGCTCAGTCGGTTGAGTGTCTGCCTTCGGCTCAGGTATGATCCCAGGGTCCTGGGATCGAGTCCCGCATCGGGCTCCTTGCTTGGTGGAGAGCCTGCTTCTTCCTCTACCTGCTCTGCCTGCCGCTCCCCCTGCTTGTGCTCTCTCCCTCTCTCTGACAAAAAAATAAATAAAATCTTTAAAAAAAAAAAGAAAAAAAATCTAAAAAGACACTTTCCTCTAAAGGTAGGAGTCTTGGGGTTTCTTACACTGTTGTATTTCCTAGGGATTTTGGCAATAATTCTAAAAGTAGAGAAACCTTGCCTTTGTCATCTACATGGGCACCCCTGGCCCTGCTCAGAGACTAGAAACATAGCCAGGCATATGATTTGAGGAGTGCCACAAAGGCCTGCTTGCTTCACATAGCTCCCCCATAGTTCTGCCCTGGCACTGCTAATTCCTCTTGGTAGATAAATGAATTTTTATCTTTTTCAAATCTTCTGCATCTGAAATTTCACTCTTAGAGCCAACTATTTGAATTAGAAAAAAAATCTAAGTTTTGTCAAATTGATTATCAAAGGCCATTATTAAAAGTGACCATCACCTGCAAAGGTGAGTATGTAAGTGGAGGAGAATAAAAACAGCTAACACTTACAGAAAGTTGTATGCAGAGGCTTCAGCAACAGTGTCCTAGTCCCAGGCACAGATGTGGTCCGGGTCGGGTGGAGGCCGCAGAGCTTGCCAAGGCAAGGCCGAGGACAAGAGGTGGCTCCTCATCACTAACTGTGCCTCCTGGTCAAGGACACGAAGATAAAGTTCTCGTAGTGCCTGGGTGGCTCAGTCAGTTAAGCGTCTGCCTTCAGCTCAGGTCATGATCCCAGCATCCTGGGATCGAGCCTCGCATCAGGCTCCCTGCTCTTTGGAGAGTCAGCTTCTTGCTCTTCCTCTGCCTCTGCCCCTCTCCCCCTGCTTGTGTTCTCTCTCTCTCTGTCTCAAATAAATAAATAAAATCTTAAAAAAAAAAAAAAGATAAAGTTCTTGGAGTTCTATTCTTCTCCCTGCCTATTAAGCAGTCAGATCATCAACTTTTTTTCTGGGTATGTCTCTCTTTAAAGATTAGGCCCATGCAAAAGGAGACCTGCACTGGCCAGTGGATCAAGTTCAAGGCATTCGTCACCATTCGGAACTACAACAGCCAAAGTTGGTTCTGGGTGTGCTCCAAGGAGACAGCCTCTGCTACGTGCGGGGCCATGGTCCTGGCCCACCTCCCCTCCATAGACACAGGGCAGTGAGGTTACCAGGAGATCAAAATCAGCAGCCCCACACCATCTCTTGAAACGTGACAGGCCACTGTGTCTCTGCACTGGCATGCCTCATCCCTGCCCCCAGAAGCACAAACATCATCTGGACCCAAGAAGCTGCTGAAGATAACTACTATCAACAACTGCTATACCTAGACGAAAGGTTGCACTGCCACCCGGGGCAACTTAACCAAGGCCACCTTTTATGCCATCTCTAAGATCTATAGCTATCTCACCAAGACGCCTCTAGGAAGACACCCTGTTCACCATGTCTCCCTATCAGTTCACTAGACCTTCTAGTAAAGACCCACAGCAGAGTCTCGGTGCAGAGGATCCAGGCTCCAGCTGTTGCCACCAGTGTTTTTATACAAGGAAATTAAGGTGAATTAATTAAGCCTGTTAAAAAAAAAATCACCCCTGAGATGTGTTAACTTCACAGAACCCTGGAGCTCATCATCAAACGTTACTGCTGCTGTGGTTATTCTCAGACCACACTGAGGCACAATGAAGTAGTATTTTATTATTATTTTGTAGAGGCTCAGCAAGACCATGTAACTCGATCAGCCAATTATCATCTTGAAAAACCAACAGTCTGAAGCTATTAAGTACCCTGGCACAGACTCCTAATGGTGGAGGCCCTAAGACCCCCAGGCATCAAGTCTAGAATTTTGGCAAGCCTGCATGGAGACCTGCGCTCCCCGTCAACACATGCTTCTGTTTGGAATTAACTTCCCCCTTTTTTTTTTTAACTTCCTGATATTCTGCATTCAGTTAGAGTTCTTGAAGTCTAACGCCAAATCTCGTTTTCAGGCCTTGATAACTGTCCTCAACTGTTAGAATGGCCTGAATGTCCTGCCTCACCGCCTTAGAATTCCACGCCGCAAACTTATACTTAAGAGTTCAAAATCCTTCGGAGATTTCCTATCCCTAAAAGACCAAGTCCATAAATTTCAATAGCTCAGACTATCATTCCGTCGAAATGTAAATTATTAAAGAGTATTTGATAACTTGAGGAAAAAGGAAATGGCAAGTCAGGAATTCAAATACTACTTGGTTGGCAACGACTCGGAGAGGAGTGCTGCAGCCCCGGGAGACGCTCCACCCGCCTGCCCCGGAGGAGGCGGGCTGGGGGAGGTCGAAGCAGTCTTCGGGCTTCCGGCTCAGCAAAGGCTCGCGGGGCGGTTTTCGCAGGGGACGACCCAGTAGGACCGTCCGGCGGAGAATCGGCCCGCCGGCGCCCGGCCCTGCAGTCTCCGAGGAGTCGCGTCCGTCGCCCCTGCCGCCCTAAGCCGCGGTCCCAGCCATGGCTGCACGCCTGTTCCGCGGCTCCCTGCGCTGGTGGGGCTACCGGTGCGCCCCGCCCTCGAGGCCCGCCGCGAGGTGAGTGCCCGCCCGGCTCCAGCTCGACTGCCCCGGGCGGGCTGCGGGGCCGTGGTGGGCGCGTGCGCGGGGGAGGGACCCCGGGGGCCCGGAACGTAGCGTCGCACGGGGGGCGGCAACCTGGGCGGGGCGGGGCGGGGCGGTGGGCGCCGGAGACTCCGAGGGTAGGGGCTGACCCTCGTCCTGCGGCGCCGGGTACGGGATGGGACCCCCGTCGACGAGGGCGGATGCGGGCCTCGGTTGTGTCCCCCGGAGTCGCGGGAAAGCCCAAAGCGGGGTTCGCCAAAGGCTCACTCTCTGGCCCCAGTCCGGCTCGTGAGATTCTGGCCGCGGGGTTGCCGGGGAGGGGCGTCCAGCCTGGGTGCTCTTCTTACGGGGACTCGGGCTCCTACCTTTGGACCTAGAACCGTGGCGAAAGGCAGCGGAGTAGAGCCCCAGGCGCTTTCAGGGTCGTGAACCTGGAGGTGGGACTCCCGCCTCGCAGGTCCGGGGAAAGTGTCAGGCGTCTGTGAGCAAGCCTACTTGCAAGAGTGCCCCTGAGAAGGCAGCCCGGGACAGCGAAGACCTGACCTCCGCCCCATCAGACAAGGACATTGAAATTTATTGAACAAATCCTTTATTTATTTGTTTGTTTGGCATTTTTCGGCACAAGCTTTATAAAGAACAGAAGAACACTTTTTTCACAGTGTACTCAGTCCGACAGAGCCCAAGCTGTCGGGCTGTTGCTCTTAACAATCAGTGGAGGCTTCAGACTTTGCCACTTAGCACATTCTCCACGGCTCTGGTTACCTGATCAGCACTGAAGCTATTCAAAGAGACATTCTTCTCTTGGCCAAATGCGTAGCGGGCCCAGAGTTTGGGCTGCACATCAGAACACTCGCGGATTAGGATAAGCAGGCCAGGGTTCGCCTTCTTCAGCCCCACATAGTGCTTCTCGATGAGTTCCCTGACGCCCTGGCCTGGCTGCCCGACGAGTGCTGGCTGAAGTGGACGCGAATCTCACGTAGGCCAGGTTTGGCCCCATCCCGAGACTCGCTGCGGGCCGCGGCTATCTCCGGGGGTGCCCACCTCCCCGCCCTAGGACTTCCTGCCAAGTTCTCCCATAACAAATCCTTTAATTAATTAAATTCGGAAGAGTTAATAGTTTCTAAGTGGCTCTGTGGTGATGCAGGTAGTGTTTATGAAATCAAAAGCTTTAGATAATGACACTAAAATCCATTCATCGGATAAACTGGAAGCATCCAGGATTCACCATTTAAAGAGTATGGCATGAATGATAAATTAGCTCGTTACACATTAGTGGAACTCTCCGATGCTATGGGAGCGGAAAAATACCTGTTCCTCCTGAGGACAGTTGGGAAGACTTCACTGAGGGGGTGACTTGACTTTAAGATGCACATACTTTTCTGAGCTCTTCCCCAGAACTTCGTAAGACTGTGGTCCTCAACTTCTTTTGTTATCGGGACTCTTAATTCTCTTAAAGTTAGAGGACACCCAAAGACCTTGTGTGTGTGTGTGTGTGTGAGGGTTGTATCTATCCATATGGATATCAATAAATAACTACAAAACGAATTTTATAAATATTTAGTTAATTAAAAGTAACAATAGAGATTATGGTAAGTGAAGTAAGACAGACGGATGCTGTATGATCTCATTTATATGTGGAATCTTAAAACAACAAATGAAAAAAGAACTCATAGATACAGACAAAAGATTGTGGTTGGTGGGGAGGGTGTGGAAATGGGAGAAGAGGGGGTGCAAGCTTCCAGCTCTAAAGTAAGTCGTGGGAGTTTAATGTACAGCATGATATTTCAAATGTGCTAAAAGAGTAAATCTTAAACGTTGTCATCACAAGGAAAAAAATTATAAGTATGTGGTGATGGATATTAACTAGACTTATTGTGTTGATTATTTCACAATATATACAAATATTGAATCATATACATCTGAAACTATATGTTATATGTCAATTATATCTCGATAATAAGTAAAAGTAACAATAATAAACCCATTACATGTTATCATAAATATCGTTTTTATGAAAAATAGCTTTTTCAAAAAAAAGAAGAGAGACATCGTTTACATTGTCTGGCTTAGTAGAAGACATCCCAATTCTTATATCTGTTTCTGCATTACGTCTATTGGGATAAATTATTTTGGTTGAATTATAGGAAGAAAATCTCATAGAGAATTTGGAAAAAGGAGAACCTGAGGGACCCTCTGAATAGGTCAGGGACTACAGTTTTATTATAGCAGGCTTCTTAATGTACAAATGAATCATTCAGGGAATTTGTTAAAATACAGATCATCTGATTCACTAGATCTAGGGTGAGGTCTGAGATTGTGTATTTATAACCAGTTCCCAAGTATTGCTGAAGGTGCTGGTGGAGACTTGTCTCCCTTTTATAATGTAAATGATTTTTTAAAAAAATAATAGAGCCTGGCCTGTTAAATTAGTAGTTTATTTTTGTTCAGTACAGATTTCCTGGTCTTTATAAGGAAAAAAAAAAAAGGGCCAATTTATTCAGTAAAGTTTTCTTGGTCTTCAAGAAATGGATGTTCCAACATACTGGCTGTCAACTTTTTGGATTTTCTTCCGCATATTTTCTCTTGAACACTTTTAACTGACCTGAAAATCTTTATTCTTTCTGGCACTTCTTTCACTTTCTATTTTCTTGGTGTATTTTACTTAGAAATATTCTGAAGTTTTCCTTAAAGTAATATGGGATATAAAATTTTAAGATAGGGGCAGACTGGAATATAAATTTGCTAATTATGTTGACAAATGATTCAGTGTTTCAGAGCACCAGTTTCCTGGCCTCAGCACATTTTTCTCCTGAGGAAAAATTCCAAGTATGGAAAAGCTATATGGACAAATGTGTGCATTATAGTTTTATTTCTACTAGCAGGAAATTGGAACCAATCATTTTGTTACAGGATTTTTCCTTTAGTGCTTGCTGTTCTTGATCACACCGCTTGCAAGAATGAAGAGGTAGACCAGACCTGCAGAGTGGTGGGCAGCAAAGCAAAGTTTACTGAGCAATAGTAAAGTTCATTGAGTGATCATACAAAGGTCCCGAAGAGGGAGGGGACTTGAAGGAGGGGACCCAAGAGGGTTGCTACAGCTGGAGTTTCTAAGTCTAGGGTTTTTTATGGGCTTGTTGGAGGGCTATTTTAATCTGATTAAGCCTCCCCGCACCTGTCATAGGGTCAGGTTTTTATCATATGAGAAAGGGTGGAGGCCTCCTTCCAGGGTGGTGTAAAATCCTTTTAAGGGTGGTTCCCTCTTAGGGCGGAGGCCCCTTGTCCCTGCCTGCCTTTCTTCCAACTATCCTTCATCAATTTCAATTATGGGATAAAGTAAATTTTGGCCTGTTTGGTGTAACAGTATAGTGGTATGTAAGACCCCTGCACCCCTCTGACTTCATCTGCTACTGTTTTCACTCAATCCACATTTGGCCTCCTTGCTCTTTATAGAACATACCAAATACCATCCTGCCTGACACCTTTTGCTCTAATTGTTTTGTCCTAAAATTCTTCTGTTCCAGAAATCTGCTTGGCTGTCACCTTGAGGTGTTTGCTCAAATCTCATTCTTCTGACTTAACCTACCCTGACTGCACTATTTCCATACTGCAACCATGGTCCCTGCCTTGTCCCACACACACATTCTGATCCTTGCTCCACTTTTCTTTTCCATAGAACTTACCGTCTCCTCCTTTATTCTATAATTTGTCTCTTTACTATATTATTTATCATTATTCAGTCTCCCCTTCTAGAAATGTGAACCTGAAAACAGGGATCTTTATTTTGCTCACTCTTGTAGCCCAAGCTACCTGAACAGTGCCCGGTACATAATGGGTACTCAAAGTATGTGTTGACCAAATGCATGAATGAGCCATTAAAAATAATGATTTAGATGACTGAGTAGTAACCATGAAGGCTAAGGCAGACTTAAGTATAAAAATTGTAGTATTACATGTTCATAACCACAGATTACCATTTAAAAGTCATCTCACATTATATTAATAAACTCCACTAAAAGTTGCATATAAAAGATAAACCTAAAGCAAAATGACAGAAAATGCATATTAAGTGTATTACTTAGCTTATGCTGTCATAACAAAATACCATAGACTGGATGGCTTAAACGACAAATGTATTTCTCATAATTCTAAAGGCTACATAACTAAAGATCAAAGCGCTGGCCAATTCAGTTCCTGAGCTCTATTTGCTTGTAGATGGCTACCTTCTCCCTATGTCCTCACATGACCTTTCCTTGTTGTGTGTACACAAGGAGAGAGCTAATTCTCTCTTCCTCTTATAAGGCCACAAATTCTCTTAGATTAGGACCCCACCCTTATGACCTCATTTAACTAATTACCTCCTCAAAGCCCTATTTCCAAATACAATCACAGTGGGAGTTAGAGCTTCAACATGTATTTGGGAGTGACGCAGTTCAGTTCCTAGCATTAAATAAAAATACATAAGCTAAAACAGAATAATTCATTACAGGGGGGAAAAAAGGTTGAGACAACCTAATTGCCAATAAACAAAACTGTCTTTTAAACAAAAACACTAAGAAGAAAGGGAGGAGGGGGAAAGGAAAGAAAGAAAAGAAAGAAAGAAAAAAAAGCAGGGTCCATCTAAGGAAGAGAGAAACCCCAAACAGAATTTCATGCAAAACAACCTTTGCCAAAATTTGGATATATGATAAAAAGTTTTTTCTCATACTCTTCTCAGGAGTGCCCCAAGAGGGAAATAAACCTGAAGACGACTGAACTAAAGGAACTACAGAGCAGTGTTATTTTAAGGTTAATATGGAGGGACAAGGAGAAGGAAGGGTCAGTTTCTGAAGATCTTGATTAATTCTGTGCTAATCCTTACAGAGATTCATGGACATTTTTTTTATTTACACCCAGGTTTCCTCTAATATGGCAATAACATCCCCATAGTTTATATCTTACACACCTGCCATTTCAAATTGTATGATTCTGAATGAAATATTAATTTGGATTCTGGGAAAATGTTAATATTATCTTAAACATCATAGTGACATGAAAACTTACCAATATTATTATGTGGTGGTATTTGAATTCTACATAATTTAATTCACATCATGTGACAACACTGTTTTACCTCAGCTCAGACCTGTGGTTAGTCATAGCCATGATGTCCTCATTATGGGTTTGGAAGTGAAGAGTGAGTTGAATAAAAACAAACTACTTGATCTCATCTAGATGAGGTAGATCCTATCAAAAGTGGTGATGCTCAAATTTGAACAGGTCTGTCAAATTTCAGAGTCTTTCTACTTACCTCTGTAGTTTGTCTATGGGGGGGAAAAAATCAGTGTTTTTCCGTGTCGTTAAATAGAACTAACCTTCCATGTTGTTCAGTGGCACTAATTTGGATATGAAGAGTAACCATTCACTTAATTTTCTTAATGTATATGTATATTTTTAAGATGTTCTCATTCCGGAGGGGAAGAACGTCTAGAAAGTCCTTCTGCTAAAAAATTAACAGATATAGGAATTAGAAGAATCTTTTCTTCAGAACATGACATTTTCCGGGAAAGTGTAAGGAAGTTTTTTCAAGAAGAAGTGATTCCTTACCACACAGAGTAAGTGGCACATTTTCCTTTAAAGTAATATGCATAAAGGGAACCATAAGAACCACTTCCTAGAATGCTGCATGTTGTTCTACAGAAAATATACTGTGTTAATTGCTCTATTAACATTTTGCTCTCTTAACTGTAATACTATCATACTTAACTATATAACTATAAACTTAAGGATTCTTAAGAATCCTGAGATTCTTGGGGCACCTGGGTGACTCAGTTGTTAGGCATTTGCCTTCCCCTTGGGTCATGATCTCAGGGTCCTGGGATCGAGCCCCGCATTGGGTTCCCTACTCGGCAGGAAGCCTGCTTCTCCCTCTCCCACTCCCCCTGCTTGTATTTCCTCTCTCGCTGTCTCTCTCTCTCTCTCTCTCTCTCTGTTAAATAAATAAATAAAATCTTAAAAAAAAAAAAAAGAATCCTGAGATTCTTAAGTTAGTTAGCTATTTAAATAAATTTTAAAATATAGAATTAAAAATAAGAAAATTTTGAAAATTTGCAACTCATTCTAAGAGTAGTAATTTGAATACTCTGGTTAAGTGGCAATTAAGTAAATAGTTACATATTTTTTTTCTGCTTCATGGAAGAATTAAAAAACATAAAAGCTCAACAGGCCAGCACAATGCAAATCTTGGTTGGCAGTGGGCCACCTTAAAGTACTTTTACTACTGGATCAGATGTTTATTAACTGATTAATTACTGATTACCTGCTTTGTTGACCAAAAACCTGTCATTTCTATGAAAATAGGATTTTGCTTTATTTCTAAAATTCACTCACTGTCAATTCTTTACTACAATTAAAATATTTTTAAAACATTGTTGGGGGGCACCTAGGTGGCTCAGTTGGTTGAGCAGCCCACTCTTGATTTCTGCTCCAGTCTTGATCTCAGGATCAAGCCCCGCCACCAGCGGGCTCTGCGCTGAGCCTGGAGCCTGCTTAAGATTCTCTCTCTCTCTCTTTCTCACCCACCCACCAACCTCCCCCCCAACCCCGCCTCCCCAGCTTGTGCGCTCTGTCTCTCTAAAAAAAAAAAAAAAAAAATTAAATACCTTCCATTGAGATTTTATTAATGCTTTCTCAGTAAAAATGACCAAAATTAGCTAAACTTGATGTCATGACTAGTCTTTGGTGAAAAGCAACTTTCTTAAAAAACAAAAGAAGGGCACCTGGGTAGGTCAGTCAGTTAAGCATCAGACTCTTGATTTCTGCTCAGGTCATGATCTCAGGTTCCTTGGATCGAGCCCCATGTTGGGCTGCACACTGAGCATGGAGCCTGCTTAAGATTCTCTCTCTTGGGGTGCCTGGGTGGCTCAGTTGGTTAAGCAACTGCCTTTGGCTCAGGTCATGATCCCAGGGTCCTGAGATTGAGGCCTGCATCAGGCTCCCTGCTCAGTAGGGAGCCTGCTTCTCCCTCTCCCACTCCCTGCTTCTGCTCTCCCTCTCTGTCCAATAAAGAAATAAAATCTTAAAGGAAAAAAAAAAAGATTCTCCCTCTCCCTTTGCCCGTCCCCCCACTCACGTGTGCACACTCTCTTTCTCTCTAAATAAATAAATAATAAATAAAAATTTTTAATAAAGAAAGTAGGAAAAAGTTTTGCTCTTGGAGAATCTTTTTTGTTTATTGCTTTGCTGATTTGAAACTTTGTTCCACAAAAATTGTTGTGAAGATTTGAAGTAAAAATGATGGAAGTTGACAAATTTTAGGTTAATGATAAAAATATTTCCAAAGGTACTTTAGGCAATAATTACATCAAAACATACATGATAATCAAACTCTTAACATTTCTTGAGGTATCTGTGTTTACCTTTAATCAATATCTTCAAAAATATACCTCATACTTACTATATCTAACTACCAATTAAAAAAAATAAAACAAAAAGTTCTCAGATTCTTTATTTCCGACTTGCCATCTCTTTCCTCATTATGCCATTCTCATTTTTAAAGAAGAAAAGCAGAGGTTGCACAATCTTATGCAAATATCTAATCTTTTCAGAAGTTCATTTGACAGCTCAGCTGCAAGATGCTTTTGTTCTTTTATTGTTCCTACTTAAACTTAAGATTGCCTGCTCTTGTCACCTTTAATATATGCTCGTCCCAGTAAGTTCAGCACTTTAAGGAAATATACAGAGGGCAATTGCCTTTACAGGACAGTTGGACAAATTCCCATGACTATATGGCACAACTAAGATTCCATCCTAAGAGTACCAGCTGAGAGAAACTGTACCCATGAATATCAATGGATGTAATTTGCAGGTCCAATGAATAGTCAAGGGAGAAGAGAAGTGGCAAATAGGAAGAAGTAAGGAAGAGAACAAGAAGGAGGAGAAACAATAAAACAGATGCAAATAGAAAGTTATGGCCAACGTCAATGACAATTACCTCAAATTAAGGGAACATTCCTACACAGTATCACTCATAAGTTCAAATTATGACCATTAAAATAATATGAAAAAAGTGTTTCTGATTTTAAAATGTTTGCTGTTTGCAGATGGGAGAAAGCTGGAGAAGTGAGTAGGGAGCTTTGGGAAAAAGCTGGAAAACAAGGACTGCTCGGTGTCAATATTGCTGAGCTTCATGGTGGTATTGGTGGGGACTTTTATTCGGCAGCTGTTGTTTGGGAGGAACAGTAAGTATGCAGACATTTGAAGTGGAGTCTTGTTTGTTAAGCACACTGCTCACTTTTCTGAGAAGATGATAAATTATGCTTTCTAATCTTACAATATTGAAAACAGTATCAACTGTGAATGAATAAACCCCTTATATACTCTTGTGCATTTTTTTTAATGTGGGAAGATAGGAAAATGTCCTTTTAAACTGTTAGAATAGGTGCTATTGAAAATTGAAGAGATCCCTTCATTTTTAATTGCTTCATGTTTACTTTTCTCCTTTTTAAAAAACTATTTAAAAAAATGGAAAAATATTTCCAACAAATATACTTAAAGTTTAATGTATAAGAAGAAATAAATATTTCAATTGATGAATGGGCACAGGATTTGAACCAACAGTTCATCAAAACAAAATTCAAATAGGTTCTTTTAGATGAAAAAAGTTCATCCTTATTACCAATCAAATGCAAATTAAATTAGTATCATTTTGAGTATTTGCAAAAGTCGGTGAAAATTCAAAATCATAATATGCATTGCTGACAAGTTTGCAGTGAAAATGAGATACTCATACTATTAGTGGCATTATCAATTAGGACAATCAATACTTTGGGGATGAAAAATGTAGATACATATAAAAAAATTGAAAATATTTCTGCTTTTTTGGGGCACCTGGGTGGCTCAGATGGTTAAGCGTCTGCCTTCGGCTCAGGTCATGATCCCAGGGTTCTGGGATCGAGTCCCGCATCGGGCTCCCTGCTAGGCGGGGAGCCTGCTTCTCCCTCTTCCTCTGCCTCTCTCTCTCTCTCTGACTTTCATGAATAAATAAATAAATAAATAAAAAAGAAAATATTTCTGCTTTTTGATCTAGGATGCTACTTTGGGGAATTTATCTTAAGGAAATAATTTTATAGAAAAAAGAGGAAGTGTATACCAAAATCATTGTCATGTTAGATCATAGTCCTCCAAATATGGAAGCAATCTAAATGTCTGGTAGTGGGAGAATGAATAAGTAAATTATATTACATAAACAATTTTGAGTATTTTACAGCTGTTTCATATTATTGTTGTGACAACTGTGTTAAAAAAAAAGGACTTTTTCATGTCGCATAATTAAAAAAAAAATAGTTAAGTACAAATTCACACCATGACTGCAACTATATTAGAATATATCCTTATGGCAAAGGTAATTTGCCAGAATGAAAATAGTTGCTATATTAGGGTAATACAACTGTAGGTGATTAATACTTTTACATGTTTTATCTTTTAATTCGTTAGGTAAGTATTCATGGAGCTCTGTTAGAGTACTGTTAATTGTGCTAGGGCCAGAAATTAAAAGATTAATAAAAACAAAGAGAAAATCTTCAGGAACTTCCTAGGTTTGTGCAGAGACAGGCTATTACCACACAATGTGATAAGACTTAATAATTTGTTGTTGTTTAATTGAAAGTCAAAGAAACTGAAAGCAGAACAAAATAATTTTGTGCTTTAAATTTTCTTCTTTTTTTCTCTTTAAGAGCATATTCGAATTGTACAGGCCCAGGTTTTAGTCTTCATTCAGATATTGTCATGCCCTACATTGTAAACTATGGCTCAGAAGAACAGATTAAGCACTTCATCCCGCAGATGACCAGTGGGAAATATATTGGTGCCATAGCAATGACAGAGCCTGGGGCTGGAAGGTAAATCAGCATTCATTTGGTTTTAAATTTTTGGAAGCAGTGCCCAACAGCAAACATTTTCTTAGTACCCACTTCACACAACCCTTTGAACAATATGCAAGGAGGGGTACGAAGATGAACACAAGCATAACTTACAGCCTAAGTGACTTCAAACTCCAGTAGGAAAATAAGGCTTATCGTATATGAATAATAATAAAACATTATAATATATGCTGTTTTGAGATATTAATATGAGGTGATGCAAATAAAATGGTAGGATATGACTTGAATCTGGAGCATGATGACTTTTGGATGTGATGGGACATTCACATGGAAATGTCCAGCAGGCTATTAGAAATAGGGATTTGGAACTCTGGAGGCAGACTGGGGTGCAGAGAATTGGAGCAATGGGAATGAATAAGATCATTTATTCAGTCATTCGAAGGTTACTTACTAAGTGCCTTTGATGTGCCAGTTACACGGTGGCAAACAAAACAGATGTGTTTGTTGCGCTTACCGAGGAGAATGACAAGAAACACATAGATAGATAGATCCCTAATTATAAATTCTGATGAGTACTATGAAGGGAACATGGTGCTATGCTAGAGACTAATGGAGCATGTGTGTTTGTTGGGAAAGGAAAAAATGAATTTAGATATGAGTGCCAGAGAAGGCCTATAAAAAGTGGTTACATATAAACTGAGATGTATCATCTCTGTAATAAAACTTGAAGTCTGGAATTGTGATACCTCCAGTCTTGTTTTTCTTTTTCAAGATTGCTTTGGCTATTCTGGGTCTTCTGTGAATCTGTACAAATTATAGGATTGTTTGTTTGAGTTCTGTGAAAAATGCTATTGGTATTTTTTGTTGTTGTTGTTACTCAAACATTATTTTATTAGTGGCCTTTTTAGACTGATACTTTAAAATCATGTTTTCTATACCTAAAACTTTTCCCCTTAGAATAGAGCAGGTTTTCATTTTTTGACTGTATTTATTTTTTTTAATTTTTATTGTTATGTTAATCACCATACATTATATCATTAGTTTTTGATGTAGTGTTCCATGATTCATTGTTTGTGCATAACACCCAGTGCTCCATGCAGAAGGTGCCCTCTTTAATACCCATCACCAGGCTAACCCATCCTGCCACTCCCGCCCCTCTAGAACCCTCAGTTTGTTTTTCAGAGTCCATCGTCTCTCATGGTTCTTCTCATGCTATTGGTATTTTGATAGGGATTGCATTAAATCTGTAGATTGCTTTGGGTAGTGTAGACACTTTAACAATATTTGTTCTTCCATTTCATGAGCATGGAATGGAATGTCTGTCCATTTCTTTCTGTTGTCTTGAATTTCTTTCATCAGAGTACGGGTTTTTCACCTCTTTGGTTAAGGTTATTCCTAGATATTTTATTATTTTTGCTGCAGTTGTACATGGGATTATTTCTTTTTTTTTTTTTAAGATTTTATTTATTTATTTGATGAGAGAGACACAGAGAGAGAGGGAATACAAGCAGGGGGGGTGGGAGAGGGAGAAGCAGGCTTCCCGCTGAGCAGGGAGCCCGATGGGGGGCTTGATCCCAGGACCCTGGGACCATGACCTGAGCCCAAGGCAGATACTTAATGACTGAGCCACCCAGGCACCCCCATGGGATTATTTTCTTAATTTCTCTTTCTGCAGCTTCATTATTAGTGTATAGGAATGCAACAGATTTCTGTACATGGATTTTGTATCCTGCAATTTTACTGAATTCATTTATCAGTTTGAGTAGATTTTTGGTAGAGTCGTTCAGGTTTTCTGTATATACTCCTGTCATCTGCAAATAGTAAAAGTTTTACTTCTTCCTTACCAATTTGGATGCCTTTTCTTTTTGTTGTTTGGTTGCTGTGGCTAGGACTTGCAGTACTATGTTGAGTAAAAGTGGTGGGAGTGTATAACCTTGTGTTGTTCCTGACCTAGGGGGAAAGCTCTCGTTTTTCCCCATTGAGTATGTTCACTTTAGGTTTTTCATATAAGGCCTTTATTATGTTGAGATATGTTCCCCCAGACCTACTTTGTTGAGAGTTTTTATCATGAGTGGATGTTGTACTTTGTCAAATGCTTTTTCTGCATCTATTGAAACGATCATATGGTTTTTATCCTTTCTCTTATTGATGTAACATATCACATTGATCGATTTGTGAATATTGAACCACCCTTGTATCCTGGGAATAAATCCCACTTGATCATGGTGAATGATTTTTTTAATGTATTGTTGGATTTTTTTTTAAGATTTTTATTTATTCATTAAAGAGAGAGAGAGAACGAGCGGGGGAGAGAGGCAGAGGGAGAAGCAGAAGCCCCACTGAGCAGGGAGCCAAATGTGGGGCTTGATCCCAGAACCTGGAGATAATGACCTGAGCCAAAGGCAGATGCTTAACCATCTGAGCCACCCATTCATTTTGCTAGTATTTTGCTGAGGATTTTTACATCTATTTTCATCAGAGATAATTGGCCTGTAGTTCTTTCTCTTTTTTTGTGGGGGTCTATTTAGTTTTGGCTTCAAGGTAATACTAGCTTCATAGAATGAATTTGGAAGTGTTCCTTCCTCTTTTATTTTTTGGAATAGTTTGAGAATAATAGGTTTTAACTCTTCTTTAAATGTTTTATAGAATTTGCCTGTGAATCTGACTGGTCTTGAACTTTTGTTTGTTGGGAGTTCTTTTTTTATTATTGATTCAGTTTTATTGCTGGTGATTGGTCTGTTCAAATTTCCTATATTTTCCTGCTTCAGTTTTGGTAGGTTATATGTTTCTATGAATTTATCCATTTCTTCTAGGTTATCTAATTGTTGGTATATAATTTTTCATAATATACTCTTATAATTGTTTGGGTTTCTGTGGTATTGGTTGTTATTTTTCCTTTCATTTGTGATTTTGTTTATTTGGGTCATCTTTTTTTTTTTTTTTTTTGATGAGTCTGGCTGGAGGTTTATCAATTTTGTTGAGCTTTTCAAAGAACCAGCTCCTGGTTTCATTCATCTGCTGTATTGTGTTTTTTATTTTTAGTTTCTATATCATTTATTTCTGCTCTATTATTCCTTCTTTCTGCTCGTTTGGGGTTTTGTTTGTCCTTCTTTTTCTAATTCCTTTAGGTTTGAGGCTAGGTTGTTTATTTGAGATTTTTCTTGCTTCTTCAGGTAGATCTGTACTGCTATAAACTTCCCTCTTAGAACCACTTTTGCTGCATCCCAAAGATTTTGGGCTATTGTGTTTTCATTTTCATTTGTTTCCATGTACTTTTTGATTTCTTCTTTGATTTATTGGTTGACCCATTCATTGTTTAGTAGCATGTTATTAACCTCCATGAATTTATGGCCTTTCTAGATTTTTTCTCGTGGTTGATTTCCAGTTTCATAGTGTTATGGTCAAAAAAGATGCATGGTATGACTTTGATCTTTTTTTTTTTTTTTAAGATTTTATTTATTTGACAGAGAGAGACACAGCGAGAGAGGGAACACAAGCAGGGGGAGTGGGAGAGGGAGAAGCAGGTCCCAGCGGAGCAGGGAGCCGGATGTGGGGCTCGATCCCAGGACTCTGGGATCATGACCTGAGCCGAAGGCAGACGCTCAGCGACTGAGCCACCCAGGTGCCCCTGACTTTGATCTTCTTAAATTTATTGAAACTTGTTTTATGGCCTAATATGTGATCTATTCTGGAGAATGATGACTGCCTTAGATCCAGGGTATTCTGATACCAGCCGTGTGATTGTGGGCAAAATCTTTGAGCCTCAATGTCTGTATCCGTGATACTTATTTAATAGGGTTATTGTGAGGGTCTGAATTCTTGGTAATACTAAATAGTGTATTTTAAAACCATTTTTAATATTTCATATTTACCATTCAAAAGGTTTTTTTTAATTAAACCACAAACTGAGTTGTGTCGTTACCTTTATTACCTTTAATATGTCCCTACATAGAAGCATTATTTTAATAAGCCATGTATGGTCTTTAGGAACTAATATTTCATACTAACTTATGATGAAAATTATGTTAGAATACAATAGCGCACAGCTTTAAAATGTTCTTTATAATCATCTCTCCTTTTACTGAAAACCAAACTATAAGTTTTTGTCATTTAACTCATCTTTCAAACAGGTGGCCTTGTTTCCAATGTCAAGTGTCCCCAGGATCACCTCCAGGTTCTGTGATTTGCTCGGAGTCACAGGATTCAGCTTCTAATTGTATTCACCACTGTAATTTATTTCAGGGAAAGAATACAAACAAAATCAGCAAAAGAAAAGCCTCATGGACTGAAATTCATAGAAAACCAGGAGCAGCTTCCAAGACCTCTCTTTTAAATGGAGTTCCACAGGACTTGTTTAATTCCTTTAACAGCAAGTTGTGAGAATATGTGTGGAATGTTATCTACCAGGGTAGTTCATTAGGGACTCAGTGCCCAGAATTTTATTGGAAGTTGGTCACATAGACTGTTTGTCTAGCATGTGACAAAAGTTGAGATTCCCAGAAGAAAAACAAGTGTTTAGTATCAATCATTATTTATTCAAACAGTTTAGGTATAGTGCATTACTCTTCTCTGTTCTGGGAATGGTGGGAACCCTCCTGCCAAATTCACAGATGCCAACCAAAAGCCAAACTTGTAATCAGGTCTTTCTAAGGATAGAAGCCTGAAACCTATTTATTTATTTGTCAGAGAGAGAGACAGAGAGCACGCACGAGCAGGGGGAGTGGTAGGTGGAGGGAGAAGCAGTCTCCCTGCTGAGCAAGGAGCCTGATGCGGGACTCGGTCCCAGGACCCTGGGCAGACGCTTAACCGACTGAGCCACCCAGGTATCCCATTTGAGTTCCTGTTATGTGCAAAGCAATATGCTAGGTGAAGGGCATATAAACTTGATATACAGCATGTCCTCAGAAGGATTGAGTCTGGTAAGTGGGGTAGGCAAGAAAGATAAGATCTTTTTAATTAATCACTGAAATACAAGATAAGTGCTCTAAGAGAGTGTGTTATTTTCCTATGGTTTCAGTGGTAACAAATTACCACAAACTTGGTGGCTTAAAAAGACAGAAATTTATTCTCTCACAATTCTGAAGGCCAGAAGTCCAAAATCAGTATAAATCCGGCCCAAATCAAGGTATGAGCAGGGCTGCACTCCCACTAGACATTCTAGGGCAGAATCCATTCCTTGTCTCTTCCATTTCCTAGTGTCTGACACCATTTCTGGCTTTGTGATCTTATCATTCCAACCTGCCTCTGTGGTCACGTTGCCCCTCCTCTTCTGTCTGTGTAATCTCTGTCTGCCTCTCTTTCACAAAGACATTTGCATTTAAGGTCCATCCATCAGATAATCCAAGATAGTCTCCCCATCTTGAGATCCTTAAATTAGTCACATCTGCAAGACCCTTTTTCTATATAAGGTAACCCTTCACAGGTTCCAAGGATTAGGATAAGTGATGTAGACTCTTTATACATGATGTTATTTATTGTAGGATATTTACAAAAATTGGAAACTACCTAAATAGATTGTTTTAAAAAATCATGATAAATCTTACACAAACAATGAATCATGGAACACTACATCAAAAACTAATAATGTAATATATGGTGACTAACATAACATAATAAAATAAAATTTTAAAAAATCATGATAGGGCACCTGGGTGGCTCAGTTGGTTAAGCGACTGCCTTCGGCTCAGGTCATGATACTGGAGTCCCAGGATCGAGTCCTGCATCGGGCTCCTTGCTCAGCAGGGAGTCTGCTTCTCCCTCTGACCCTCCCCCCTCTCATGCTCTCTCTCTCTATCTCATTCTGTCTCAAATAAATAAATAAAATCTTTAAAAAAAAAAAATCATGATAAATCTATACAATGTAATTCTATGCTGATGATAAAAAAAAGATCTTATAGAAAAGCATTAGATATTATTTGGAGGTCAAAAGCATATAGTTTTTAAAAATACATATGTGTATCTGTTTCCATTGAAAAAATGATGGGAAGATGTATTTAGAAATGTTTATTCCAGGAGGAAAAATTATTTTCAATATTTTTTTTTGGTCTGGGATATTGTCTGTACTTTTCATATTTCAATTGTGAATATTTATTTTATATTTTGAAAAATAATCTATTCCACTTTTAGAGGAAGCATTTGAGACATAGTCTTTTTATTTTTTATTTTTTTTAGGAGCTTTTTTTTTCTTTTAAAGATTTTATTTATTTATTTATTTGACAGAGCGTGAGTTGGGGGAGGGTCAGAGGGAAAGGGAGAGAAGAGAGGCAGACTCCCCGCTGAGTGGGGAACCAGAGAGATCATGACCTGAGAGATCATGACCTGTGCCAAAGACTGAGCCCACCTAGGCACCCCGGATTAGGAGTTTTTAATGCTTGGACTGAAAAATCACTGGCAGGGTTTTTCATAAAGTTATTGCTCCACCTCTGGCAGGGCAAGGATCTGCCCCTCACCTAGCAAGGTCTTGGGAGTGGGGGGAGCTCCTTCTGTAGTGTGGTAGAGTGACGCCCCAACCAAGAGGCAAAAAAGCAAGAAGTATAAGGAGCACCCACCTGCCAGGCACAATGCAAGGCACTTTCAAGTGTTATCTCACTTAATCCCCACACCAACCCCATGAGGTAGGGATCCCTGTTTTACAGATGAGGATCCTGAGGCTTGGAGGGGTTCATCAAATTTGTCCAAAGTCATAAAGTTTACAAAGTCATGAAGTCTCAAAGCCGAGATGAAGAAAGCCAGGTCTTCTGGTCTTCCACACTCTGCCACACTGAATTCTTTCTCTGATCCAGCCTCAGTCTCCCATGAGAAGTTCACTCTTAACATCCATATCCCTCGCTTTGTCCTGGTCCCTCTGACTGAGGGTACTCCAGTCCCAGCACGGGTCTCTTCGGGTGCTCTTGGGGCAGGGTCAACACAGGTCGCCCAATGCCCAACCAGTCCTGGACTACGCTCATTTCCCCAAAGGGCACCCCAGTCTGGGCTTTGCCAAAGGGCCTGGGGTTCATGCCCAGGAAGAGCACTTCCTTGGGGCCCTGGGAGTAGTGAGTCGCATAGCTGCGGTGTGGCTCCCATGCATACTCCACAGAAATGTGGATGATGCCCTCAGGCTCTAAGAACTGCAGCTGGCTCAGTTTAGCATTGAACCACAGCTCCTCCTCCAGGAAACCCTCAGCCACGCTTCCAGGGCAAGGCTGGGGCTCCATCAGGGCACTGGCAGGCTCATGGAGGGGCCCCAGTGGATAAGCCTGGGGCACAGCCATGTCACTGTCACCTTTTTAAATCCTCTTTAAAATGACCTTCTACCAGGGCGCCTGGGTGGCTCAGTTGGTTGAGCGACTGCCTTCGGCTCAGGTCATGATCCTGGAGTCCCGGGATTGAGTCCCGCATCGGGCTCCCTGCTCGGCAGGGAGTCTGCTTTTCCCTTTGACCCTCCCCTCTCTCATGTGCTCTCTCTCGTTCTCTCTCTCAAATAAATAAATAAAATCTTTAAAAAATAAATAAATAAATAAAAATAAATCTCAAAACTTCTATAAAAAAAAAAAAAATGACCTTCTACCAGGGAGTGTTTCTCTATGGACTCCTCCCATTTCTACAGCCCTAGTACACTCAAGGCTCAGTTGCCCACTTTGCATTCCAATTGTTTCTGAGGGTTTTCCAGGCTCTGGGTGTGTTTCCATCATGTCTGGGCCTCCCCTGGGGCAGGGATCAGGATTATTCTCCTTCATGGGACCTCAGGGTTGACAGAACAGCTTGATCCATCAACCTGTTCTCGGACCCTAGCCTGGTTCAGCTCTCGAGACATAGTCTTTTAAATAAGCTAAGTTTTACACTTGATCTTAGCCAAAAGGCTGAGAAGTGATTAAATAGCTAAGTTTTGATCAATAAAGATGGGGGAAGGAACCAAGGTGAATGGAAGCAGGCAGGTACATGGTGGCTAATAATCTCAAATATAGTGACCTTTGAGATGTCATCTGAGTCTAATTTGGAGGTGTTGAATGCTACTTGGAATTTTTATGCTCTATAAAAGCTGGCTAGTTTATGTAATCTTAATCATATACATTTAGAATATGATACATCAGACATGATTTTTCAGTGCATTTGTGTGAACATTTCTAATATTAGTTAGAAGTCAATTTTTATCATGGTATAAACAGTTTGAATTATCACATTATAGACATACTTATGTAAGATCTTTTTGATAATTCAGTTTCTACCAACTAATGAATTTCTTTTCATTATTCTTCACTTTTTCCCAATTATAGTGATTTGCAAGGAGTAAGAACAAATGCCAAAAAGGATGGAAGCGACTGGATTCTCAATGGAAGCAAGGTGTGTAAAGAGGAGCTTCCACAGCCCTTCCCTCCTGAGTCATGCCATGAGTAACAGTGTCTCAACCCTTACTCATTATTGATTCTCTCAGATCTGTGGACTCATGGGAAGAATTGAGTTTACTTAAGTTTACTTAAGTTGTTTTGTTTTGTAAGAATTTTGCAACATTTGTATTACGTGAGATCTGTGCCTCTCCTATGTTCCATTTGCCATGCTCTCCTCGCTAACATGGCAAATGTTTTAGCTTCCAAACAGCCCTTATCAAGCCATAAAAGAGGAAGGAAAGGCTTGTATTGTCCAAATATTAGGCAAACAATAATTAATAAACTTGATATTCGTGAAAAATTGGGGATGAGATTTTCTTATAAATATCAAGAAGAGGGGCGCCTGGGTGGCTCAGTCATTAAGCGTCTGCCTTCGGCTCAGGTCATGATCCTGGGGTCCTGGGATTGGGCCCGTGTCGGGCTCCCTGCTCAGAGGGGAGCCTGCTTCTCCCTCTCCTACTCCCCCTGCTTGTGTTCCCTCTCTCCCTGTGTCTCTCTCTGTCAAATAAATGAATAAAATCTTTTAAAAAAATATCAAGAAGAGTTTCTAAAGTTCTTAGGAGAGAAAGATATCTTTGATAGAATTTGAGAGCCCTTCGATCCTTCTGAGAGTCACATCAACCCAGATAGAATTGGAAAGCACTCCAATTAAGGTTACAGACAGGCTTAGGGTAAATATGTCCCTTAGAATCTAATATCACTGATGGCAGAGGATTTTGTTTACCTAAAGCTGTGTCTGGTATAAACTCAGTAAATATTTATTGTCAACTGAGTGTTAAGTGAAGGAAAGATGTTTATCTTTTACACTAAGGAGGTCTTTCCAAAAATTGTTTCAAAGCCTGTTGAAGAACTAATTATGTTTGTTTTCTTTGAAATTTTTTTTAAAAATTTCTAATTAGTTTTAGACTAATACCCTTGCATTTACAAAATCACAAGTTTGAGTGTTATACTGTCAAATTGCTGTAAAATTTTGTAAACACTCTTGATTTCTGTACTTAACACTGTCAAGGACTAAGAGCAGTTTGTGGGCTGACGTTGGTCTGAAGAACACATTTTGAGTAGCCCAATTCTTTTTTTTTTTTTTTT